GCCGCGGCGGCGACGCCGACGATGACGACGCTGGGCGACGACGACGACGACGACGACGCCGGCCGACGACGGCGACGACGACGACGACGACGCCGGGCGACGACGGCGACGACGACGACGACGCTGGGCGATGACAACGACGACGACGACGACGACGCTGGGCGACGACGGCGACGACGACGACGACTACGACGACGCTGGGCGACGCCGACGGTTCGGCTTTTCGTGAGGGTGACCTGTCGCCGGGCCCCCAGCTGGCTGAAGTCGGCATCACATCGACATACTGATATTTAAGTCGGGCCCCTCCCTCTAAAGGAGGAATATTCAGAAAAAAATAAAACAATAATCAGTCTGGGGATTTTTTTCGATAATTTTTGATTATTTTTGAATATATTTCGAATATTTTTAATTTTGCGTCCAGAATCCGCCTGTAGGGGGACACGCCCGACCTAATACTAACACTATGTGAGGCGTTCCAAACACGGCCTTGCCTTCGCGGGTCGAAGAAACTGCCATCTCTTCCATGTCGGAAGGTTGCGGATCTGCGGCGGAAGGCGCGCGGAAGTGAAGCGAGGCCGGCTCCGCCGGCGGAAGCGGGCGGAAGGCCTGCAGAAGGCGGCAGAAGCAAACGTCAAATTGGGCGCGTCCCTCTACACTCGGAGGGCCCCAACTATACACCAACACCGTTCCTGGCCCAGGATCACCCTGGGCCCAGGATCGGTGTATATGCCTTCTTGCCCAAGGCAGGAGGGCGTATACACCGATCCTGGGCCCAGGATGATCCTGGCCAGGATCGGTGTTGGTGTGTAGTTGGTGCCTTCCTATACACGGGGAATATTCAAAAATAGTTTAAAAATAGTATGGGGACGATTTTGTGACTATCTTTGAGCATTTTGGAGTTCTTCTAGGGTACTCTTCATTTTTCGTCTAAAATCCCCCCTGTAGGGGGGCACGCCCGACTTCAAGCAAACGTCGACCTCCCAAGAGATGGTAGCATTTTTGGGTTCGGGGCTTCCAGAGCCCACCATGCGTACGTCGCCCCCCCCCCCCCCCCCCCCGGGGGCGGCGCGCGCACCGAGAAGTCTGATACTATATGGACTCCGTGGCCCGCTCTGGAGACGATGTACAGTCGGGGCCTTGACCCAAGGAACCCTAATTAAGGAACGAGGCCCCTATTTTCCATGAGTTAAACTTCGATCTCATATCGATAACCTAAGGAAAACCTGAGGCAAGCTGCGAAACAATCAAGGAACACGGAGCCCCTCCCCAACGAAAAGGATTCCTTCTTCAGGGCCCCGACGGTACTGATGATCGGGTCGGACGCACGCCTCCGAGGAGGGCATGCATGCGATGCGATAGCAGCGGCTTGCGCGCCCCGGTTCGGCCTCCCCGCGGCCCCCGAAAGCCGTGCACCACAGGTCACGCTTGCCCATGGTCGCTCTCAGGTGCAGCCGAGAGGTGCTTCTTCGGATCCTCTGTCGCGTCACAGTCGTTGCCTCCCCCCGGCAATGGCAACGATCGTGCGCATGCAGCCCGCCCTGCTGCTGCCAGACGCCAGGCTCGGTGCGCCCAGGATGCGCTCGAAGGCGAGGGTCGAGGGGGCCGAGGACGGGTGTCGCGGTGGTCGAGGAGGAGGAGGAGGAGGAGGAGGAGGAGGAGGAGGAGGAGGAGGAGGAGGAGGAGGAGGAGGAGGAGGAGGAGGAGGAGGAGGAGGAGGATACTTAGGAGGAGGAGGAGGAACTGGCCAGTGCCGCCGACCCTGAAGGGGGACGACTCGGGGCTCAAGAGACGGGGTCGATGCAAGCGGGGGTCAGTCAGGGCGCCAGATCTTGCAGGATCCTGCAGCGCCAGGGGCGCACTGCCCCTGGCTTGGGTGCAGGATCCACCAGGATCCTGGAGGATCTTGCAGGATCCTGCAAGGCCCGATTGACCCGGGTTTGGACTGACCCGGGTCAGTAGATCCTCCAACGACGACCACGACGGCGGCCTCGGCGGCGACGATGACGCTGACGTGGGGCAGAGTCCTCGGTGATGCTTCGTGGGGCCTCTTCGGAGCGCGCTCGTAGGCCTCTGCGGGGCAGTTTGGGACCTTGGGAACATCTTGGGGGCCTCTCGGGAGCCTCTTTGGGGCCCCTTCGAGCTTTCTGGGGGCCTCTTGGGGGCCTCTCGGGGGCGCCCCGACGTGCCGCGCTGCAAGAAGCAACAAAAGGCAGTTTCGAGGGGTGGTAAGATTGGGGCAGCGTGAGGAGGGCGGATCGGCCAAGGTGGCACCACCAGGTGATGCACTTAAACTTGAAGGAGTGGCTGGCAACCGGGAGGCAACACAAGAACTAAGAGCCTACAAACATTCAAATCCTAAAATGCCTTATGTCGCCCTTCAATCGCCCCCTTATGCGCCCCCCCATTTTGGCCCACCCCTCACGCGGATCCTTGCCCTTGGAGTGCCGGGAATGGTGTTCTGAGAGCTTTTGCAAATCCCAGGGCGCGCCCCTCACGCAGATCCTTGCAAGCCGGGGTATGCATCGCCAAGGCGTCGGTAAGTTGCTGCGGGGAGCTACTCGTTTTTGTCGCTTCGCGTGCGCCCGTCGCGTCGCCCTTGCATCGGCCTTCGCGCACCGTGCCGCAGTGCTAAGGATGCGAACTGGGGATCCGTCTCCTCGAGGCAACGAGCTATCCCGCGCTCGTTGCGCAGCCACTCCATGCAATCTCACCGCCGCTGGGCGGCGTCCCTGCGACGCACAGAGACTCGAGTAAATATAAGTTGTTCTTCAAATCGCGTCGTCGCGCGCGCGTGCCGCATCGCCGTTGCAGCGGCTTCCCAGAAGACTTCGCGCGACTGTCGTCGTCGTCGTCGTCGTTGTCGTCGTCGTCGTCGTCGTCGTCGTCGTCGTCGTTTTGAGATCAATGTCGTCGTCTTCGTCAGCGGTATCGTCGTCGTCGTTCTGAGATCAATATGTCTTGGGTCATGGGTGGGAGGGACACGTCCAACAGGCTTCAAGTCTGGGCTGGTGGACCCTAAACCCTAAACACTAAACCCTAAAGGAGTCTTCGACTACTATCCGAACACGTGCGTGTCGACAGTTTTTTCGGGGCCCGGGGTGGTCTCCACCCAGCTGCGCCTTCCTCGGGAGCTCGATAGCCTTCCCGCGGGTGTTCGGGGCCGTTCCGAGCGGCCGACGAAGGTCCGAGTGGTGCGTGGGAGGGGGGGTTCAGGGGGGGGGGTCAAGGCTTTTCCTCCCTGCCGCTTCCCCGTTCTCGGCGGTCTTCCAGCCGCGGGACGGCCCGAAGGCCAGCGGGGGGCAACGCTGGAGGGCCTCGGCTCCGCGGGCGAGGCGTCGATATGGGGGCCACGTGCGAACCCTGCCCCTGCCTCCCCACGATTTCTGAGGGCGAGGGCGGGGTTCACTTCGCTCGGGACCTCCCGAGCGGCCGACCCTGCCCCTGCCTCCCCACGATTTCTGAGGGCGAGGGCGGGGCTCACTCCGCTCGGGGCCTCCCGAACGGCCGCGGGAGGGGGGCGGGAGGGGGGCGCTGTGCGGGAGGGGGGCGCTAGGGGGGGAAGGCCCTTCCTCCCCGCCGCTGCCCCGTTTTCGGCGACTTCTCCCGGCCTCGGGGCGGCCAGAAAGCCAGGGGGGCAACGTTGGCCAGGAGGGTAAAAGACGCACAGACACCATCCAACGTCGAGTCCCCCGAAGATATAGGAAAACATGGGAAGTGGGCTGGGAAGACAACAACCAAGAACATATGGGAACTTATGGGGGAATCCGGTCACTTGTGTCTATTGATTTGTGTGCCCCAGGGCCCCTTCAGTCAGAGGGCATCGGCTCAGCGGGGGGCGCATCGACCCCCGATCGTCAGTGCGTCGCCGATGGGGGGCTCGACGGCCCACCCGTCCAGGAGCACGCGGCGCTGCAGTCGGGCGCCCGCCGCTGACCTGTCGGCGACGTGCAGTCGGCCCGCACAGCAAGGATGGGCAACCCTGCCGAGGGTACCCCTTGCATCCTGGCCTCCTCGGCCCATCCTTGGCCACCGTCGTCGGCCGCGCCCCGCTCGAGAAGCTTCGAAGTGGGCGTCCAGGGCCCTCGTATCCTCGTCCCGCATCCTTGGGATGCGGATCGACTGTGGGGCACCCTCTCCGCGCTGATCTCGATCTCACATCTGGGTCCGACAGCACCCTCGGGATGGCAGGGTTGGGCGAACTGCATCGCTGACCTGTTGGCGATGTATCGCCGATTCCAGCTCGAGGTTCCCCCCCGAGCTGGTCGCGCCCTGTCTTTGGCCCCCCTTAGGGAGGCGGGCGGGGGTGATCGAGGAGCTCTTCTCCTCCTCCTGTTCCGTCCTGCGCTTTCTCGCTCAACCCTGCCATCCCGAGGGTGCATTCGGACCTCCTCCTTCTCCTCCTTCCCCTCCTCATCCTCCTCATCTTCCTCCTCCTGCCCCGCCTGCGCTCTCTCTCTCTCTCTCTCTCTCGCCCAGCCCCGACATCCCGAGGGTGCCCTCGGACCGAGGCGTACAAGATCGAGGTGTCGCTTCGGGGAGGGCGCAGTCGAGCATTCGAGGTCTCGAGGTTCGAGGTGTCGAGGCTCGAGGCTCGAGGTTCGAGGCTCGAGGTTTCGAGGCTCGAGGGTTCGAGGCTCGAGGCTCGAGGTTTGCGGGTCTCGTGCCAGTCTTCGCCGGTTCGCGGCGGCGCTCCCGCCTCGGGGCGCCCCCCCGCGGCCGCGCGCCTCGCCGCCCGGGCGCGCTCCCGGGGTGCCCGAGGCGCCCAGGGGCGGCCGCCCGAGCGCCGGGGCACGGCCCGGGGGAGGGCGCCCTGGTGTTCCTCGGGTTCGTCGGGTGCTCTTGTGCACCCTGGGGAGGATGCCCTTAGATGTTCTGTTTGTTTTGTTTGTGTTGATAGCATCTCCTGCAGCATCCCAGGCGTTGTCCGGCGCTGCCCTGACCTTCCGCCTCGCTGTCCGCCGGCCCGGCCAAGGACGGTATGCCATGCAGGTGTGGTCATC